TTATTATGGATGGTATGTCCTGCTACCTTTAATCTCCTTCCCACTCTACGCCCTTCGCTGACTTAAGTTTCATTGGGATTTGTTTAAATCATCTTCTTTATGTGGATGATATGCTTGTCTTTGACATTGCTTTTTCTCAAAATGCAGCTTACTTGAATAGCTCCCTATGAGATTTTAATGGTGCTTCTGGTCTTCATGTCAACCCCAATAGAAGCTTGATAATGTTTTCCAAAAATGCCCTACTATGACTGACATTCGTAATATTCTTGGCATTTCCCAAGTAGATTCTTCCCTCAAATATTTGAGGCTCTCTATGTCCACCAAACATCATATTTATCTCACTTCCAACCGCTCTTGAGTAAAATTTCTACTCTACTTACTGGTTAGAAAGTTTGGTTTCTCTCTTTTGTAGGTAGGGTGTTCACTATTACAACCGCCATTTTATATTGGATTAGGGGATCCATTATACGTATGGCTTGCTGCAAATTTATCACTAAATTATTCTTAAGGTTCTTATTTCACAGCATCATTAATGACAAAAAGCTCCATTTAATCGCTTGGAAATCAACTGCACTTCCTAAGCCTCAGGTTGCGTGGGATGGGTATTCCTTCTATATAATCTCTTTATCATGGCGTTATGGTGTCCTTTATCTGGCAGTTGTACAGTCAAGATTCTATTGCTAGCTCCTCGTATCGGGCTAAATACATTTCACCATGGAAGCCACCTACTCTTAATGCTTCCAAAGCTTGGAAATTAACATGATCAACCACACACAAAATTAGGAATTCTATTTCTTTATTTATTGCTCCTCTCTGCAACTATTCAATGTTTTGGGACCCATGGTGTAACGGACAAGCTTTATCCAAATTCTTCTTGCCTTCTCGTATCATACATCAGGTTGTTAATAAGTATATTATGAACAATCAATAGGTGCTTCCTTAGTCATTTCTTAAGTAGGACCGCGTGGCAATCTTTACAGTCTATATTAATGAGCAACCCACGATTTCCTGGGAAGGCTCATTCAACCCTTCTTTTAAGAATTTTATTACGCAAATCTTTCTCTGTAGGAGGAAGTACACTAGTATAAATTTATTTAGCATAAAAACCATTCTCTTCGGTTCTATTTTTATGCGTGGATGGCTATTATTGAGAAGTTGAAATGTGTTGATCTGCTTCTCAAGAAGTTAATTAATGTTTAGCCATCCTGTTCATTCTGTCTCTCTGCACCAGAAATGCATAAACACTTGCTCTTTGAATGTGATTTTTCTTATTTAGTGATATCGGCTCTTTTACCTTTTCTTAGCGTTTTTTTTTTTCTTCAGACCAAACCTGCTTCAAACTTTTGATTGCTTGGATAATATGCAGCAGTTTAAGACAATAGGGACAATTTTTTGTTTTTATCGTTAGCCACACAATTTATCATTTGTGGAGGGAAAGGAATAATGAACATTTTGCTGGTATCTGGGACAGCCCTTCCTTAATTCAATTGGCTATTAAAAATGCAATTAGTCTCAAATCTTTTTGGTGGAAATGTTATGATAAGCTTAAGGATCGTTTCACGCATATCTTCTAATGTTTTTCCTGGAGATTCCTATGGTGTTTTTGGTCGCCTGGAAGATGATGAGTATGGCCATCTACTTACCATTCTGTCTGTGGCGGTCATACGGCAACCACAGGAATTTTGCTGAATGGTTATTATGCTACTTGCTCTTCCAGGTGCCTTCAGACGACGAGGTCCTTGAGCAACCTGTTATTGCTTTGGATGGCCCTGCGGCAACCTGTGCTCCCTATTACCACCTCGGCTTCTGTCTAAGCTTCGACTCCTACAATGAGTTTTTCATCTGAATTTCTTATGAGTGGGTAGTTGGCCTCTCCCTCTGAGGAACTTTTATTACGTCCTCTGACCGAATGTAGATCTACGTTCATTGTTACTCGGTTTTTGCTCGGTATTTGGTCGGTATTGTTAGGTATTGTTTGATAATAGCGAGAAATACCGCTCTGCAAAGACCAATACCGAGTAATACCGAGCAATATCGAGTTATACCAAAAAATACCGAGTTTTTCTAAAAAACTCGGTATTTTTTGGTATAACTCGATATTGCTCGGTATTGCTCAGTATTTTGTCTTCACATAATGATATTTCTCGTTATTGTTGATATTGCTCGGTATTTGCTTGGTATTTCTCGTTTTGTGGCAGCGATCTTAGTACCGTCCGAACGTAGCTCTACGTACGTTCACTGGATCAAATAAAAGTTCCCCTCTGAGCTCTCTTTTTGCCAATCTCTTTTCTATGTATCTATTTTTCTAGTAATTAGAGTTTTTGAGTGGGTTTTTTTATCTTATTTGTTTTTATCTTATAGTTTTTATTTTGTTTTGGTTGCTATGATGAGTAAATGGTTTTCATTTATAAACGCCTCTGCCTCAAAATCCCCCAAACTCGTTACTTTCAAAATTCAATCTAATTTATTTATTTTTTTAGTACTTTTTAAATTCCAAAATAAACTATTTACAAAATAGTTAATATTTAAGTCTACTAAATGATAAAGTTATATCGAGAAAAATCAAATGTTAAGAAAAGCTCAAAATTCAAGAAAACGAAACCTCATTTTCACAAAAGTGTGTGGAATCGGATTAGGCTAGAATGCGCCGAATGTTCTGGCATGTTCTCATGAACACGCCGAAGGTATTGGCGCATTCCTAAAGCGCCAAACATTTTGGCGTATTGGTTGTATGCAACTGATTATGTGGTGTTTTCTGACTATGCCAAAAGCTTTCACGACCTGCTCCATCTTAAATTTTGCTCCGTTCGTGCCCCTCTCACTAAATGCCTCAGCTAACCTGTTCCTTTTAAAAATTTGGCTGCATAAAATAGTATTCATAAACACAAGCACTAAAATTCTCAAACAAGCTACAAACACAATTTAAAGATCATTAAACAAATTTCATACTAATTTTAAAGTTAATTGAACTAATAATTATTATTTTTCTATTCTAACATTAGCTTTATTTGGTAGAGCTTTCTTATTGTTTTTTAATGCAAAAATTTCTAATTCAAAAAATTATGTAAAAAATAATTGTTTTAGAAAGCAATAAGAAGATTATCCCCAACAATGCCTTAACCAATCTCACATGCTAAAAAAATATTTAAAGCTCGTAAAATCCGTCAAAATTTACTTTTATTCATTAAATTACATTGAAATTATGCATTCGAAGTTTTTTGCAAAAATTAGATTTGAATTTAGATTTATTTTCAAATTTCTATGTTTATTTAGAATTTAACTGAATTTTCTTATGAATATTTATATCACATCAAAATGTATATATAATATATTTTTATTTCAATATAAATTAATACTCATTATATTTTTATGTAATTTAAATTTTAAAGTTTTATATATATAAATATAAAAATTAAAATAGTATATATATAAATTCTTTTATAATTCGCATATAAGTCTTTCTTAATTAATTAATACAATAATTGTTGAGCAGTTTTATCCAACGAATTAGAAGACTCTGGATTAACAAATCGTGCTGTCGATTCTCTATCCAACGGCTGAGTATTTCTGCACCACTCGAAGGAAACCGTTCTAGAGTCTTCCATCTTTTGCGGTGGACGGCAACGACCCGATTCTCATTTGCCTCTCTGTCGAGCTTTGCTTCTCCAGTTTATATTCTCCTCCTTGCTCTTCGCTGAAACCAGAAGCTACCAGGCTCGGTTCCTTTGATTGCAAGGAAACACTGCATATTCGTTCCGATCGGAAGAAGATCTGCGGGAAGGAGAAAGATGTTTGGGAGGGCGCCAAAGAAGAGCGACAACACGAGGTATTATGAAGTTCTCGGCGTGTCGAAGAACGCGTCGCAGGATGATTTGAAGAAGGCGTATCGCAAGGCGGCTATTAAGAACCATCCTGATAAGGGCGGTGATCCCGAGAAGGTATAGTTGTTATCGATTTGACCTGATTTTAGATCTTTGTTTTTTGATGTATTGGATAGTTTGGGCATAAGCTGAATTGTTGATTCGTTGTTTTGGAAGTGAATGTTTATGGTGGGATGAGGTTCTATGTTCGCTGGATGTAGATTTTGATTGCGATCGCAAGATCCTTTCGATTTTATTTTGGTTACCTTGGCGATCTTCTTAAGTGTTTATTGCTGTGTTGGAAGCGGATTTCGTTGGTGGCGGATATGTAGTGTTTGATTTTTTTTCTTCATTGTGACCCTAGAAAGGTCCTACTTGTATTCGTTCAATTTTAGACCTGGCATTTGATATGCACAACAATTTAGTGGTTAGAAGGAATGCTTCTTAGTCATTTTCTGGGACTAATGTGTAGTCTAGTGGGTAGAACGGTAATTATGAAGACCTAGGGCATCGACAATTTCGAATTTTGTGGGCTCATCCATTCATCTATTTGGTGTGGCATTGGTACTTGCCTCAATAATAGGAGAAATTATTCTGTGCGGAATCCAGATATAGAGCTGTGTTCGGATGCCAATAAAATCATTGCACGTGGCGTGCTTATGTGGAAAGTTAGGATATTCATTTGATTTCTTACCCGACCTGTTTGTCTTTTCGGACTTACTGCATACGAAGTGAAATCCGCAACAAATAAGCAGTAAATAAGTAGAAAATGCGCAACATATATGCAACAAATACTCAATAAATACACAACAAATACGCAATAAAATACTCAATCAATACGCACATTTTACACAACGAGTACGTAATAAATACTCAATCAATACGCAGGTCAAATAATAACGCTGACTTTTAACTTTCCACGTAAGCATCCGAACACAGCTCTATAACCGGATTCCGCACAGAATAATTTCTCCAATAATAGCCATAAGTTCATGGACGATTACCTTCCTCTTTATGATTATGTTTGCATTTGCAGGTTTTAAGTTTGATTTGAAATACTCAATCAATACGCAGATCAAATAAATAATGTTGACTTTTAACTTTTCACGTAAGCATCCGAACATAGCTCTATAACCGGATTCCGCACAGAATAATTTCTCCAATAATAGCCATAAGTTCATGGACGATTACCTTCCTCTTTATGATTATGTTTGCATTTGCAGGTTTTAAGTTTGATTTGTAGAGATTTTGTTGGAAATAGTTTATGTTTGCTACTTTCTATTGTTTATGAGCTAGTTCAGGTGTGAATTTATCCAAAAAAATATATATTTGCAGTTTAAAGAATTGGCCCAAGCTTATGAGGTGTTGAGTGATCCTGAGAAGAGGGATATATATGATCAATACGGTGAAGATGCTCTCAAGGAAGGAGTAGGAGGTGCTGCTCATGATCCATTTGACATTTTCCAGTCTTTCTTCGGCGGTAGCCCCTTTGGTGGTAAGCTTTGATATATTTAAGCAAACTTTATTCATTTGATCCCTTTGAGAACTGAGATCTTGATACCGCTCTTACTCCCTGTGATTATTATGGCGAGAAGATCGGGGCAGTAGCCGTGGACGCAGGCAGAAAAGAGGAGAAGATGTTATTCATCCATTAAAGGTCTCCTTGGAAGAATTGTACAATGGAACTTCGAAGAAACTTTCACTTTCTAGGAATGTTCTTTGCTCAAAATGCAAAGGGTGAGTACTATGAGTTGCTGCACTTCACTACTGAAGTTATGTTAATTTATAAAGGCATTTTACATGTTTTGCAGGAAGGGATCTAAATCCGGTGCTTCAATGAAATGCTCTGGTTGTGAAGGTACAGGCATGAAAGTCTCAATTCGCCATTTGGGACCATCGATGATTCAACAGATGCAGCATCCTTGCAATGAATGCAAAGGGACGGGCGAGACCATTAATGACAAGGATCGGTGTCCACAGTGCAAAGGTGAGAAGGTTGTGCAGGAAAAAAAGGTTCTTGAGGTCTTCGTAGAGAAGGGTATGCAGAATGGGCAGAAAATCACCTTCCCTGGTGAGGCCGATGAAGCGGTATGTTGCTTGCTCTTCTTTCTCCCTGGAGATCTTTTTTTTGGATGATAAAAGAAAATCTAATGCTTGCCAAATATTCAAGTGCTGAGCCTCTAATGGTATTATTGTATATGGGAAAAGGTTGTTGTAGCTCTAATGGCATATAAGATTGGAGTGAGTCGTCATGGATGGTTTGGTTACATAAAATGATAAAATGTTGGCTTTCCGATGATCCGATTTGGGATAGTAGATGTATTTATTAGATATGGTCTTTGTTAAGAAAGCTAGAGATATACCTAAAAGACATGGTTAGAAATAATCCATGAAAATTTGACTTATAATAGGACACCATGAAAGAAAAGGATTTTTTGTAGCCTACGGACGGAGTGGGATAAATGCTTCATGTTGTTTGATGAAAACAAAAATGCAGGTTGAAATTTTATTGTTAATTTTGAGATTTGAGTATAATTTTAAAATTGAAGGCATGCAGATAGTAATTTTGCAAATTAGTGTTAGAGCATCTCCAACCGAACGCCAAAAGTGAGTATGGCGTCATTCAGTCGCTCCATCCGGACGTCAAATCTTTTGCCATTTACTTACGGGTGAACAGTGCGACGTCAATATTGGCTTTGCGTTGTTCACCCACGCTATTTTGCTCTCTCAACCTGATTTGGCGAAAAAACGCGCGAAAGAGGAGAAGGGTCGTTACCTTCGCAGAAGCATCTAAAATGGAGTTCGATTGGAGCAGAATTATGGCATTTTGGAGTTTTGTTGTATTTTGCCGTGAAAAATGATGTTCTCGGTTGGAGATGCCCTTATGGATGAAATTACCACTATTATTATGCAAGCTTTGTTTCTCTTTCATTTCTCTTTTTTCCTGTGACCACCAAAATTTAATTCTTGCGTCATTTTACCAGTAGATTGAAAATAATTTCTAGTATCATACACTTAACCTATTTCTCTTCATGTCTTAATTTTTTTGTGGCACACTTAAAAATTTGCCATGTACCAAATGTTTACTCGGTACCACGTTTTAAACTGTTGCTGACTTATTGCTTTCACTTGATAATTGTAGCCTGATTGTATCACGGGCGACATCGTGTTTGTACTGCAACAAAAGGACCATCCCAAGTTCAAACGAAAGGGTGACGATCTCTTTGTTGAGCACTCTCTCTTCCTTACAGATGCCCTCTGCGGTTTCCGCTTCGTGCTGACCCATCTCGATGGCAGGCAGCTTCTTATTAAATCAAACCCTGGAGAAGTTGTCAAGCCTGGTAATCTTTTTTAAGATCATTTCATATTCATATTTATAGCTACTAACTCAATTCATGAGACGGTTAGTTCACCTATGTACTATGTTCATGTTATAATATCTGCAGATCAATTCAAGGCAATCAATGATGAGGGCATGCCGATGTACCAGAGGCCATTCATGAAAGGCAAGCTTTACATCCATTTCAACGTCGAATTCCCGGACTCGCTGAATCCAGACCAGTGCAAAGCTCTCGAGGCGATTCTTCCTGCGAGGACCCGAACTCAGCTTACAGACATGGAGCTTGACGAGTGCGAAGAGACGACCTTGCATGATGTGAACATGGAGGAGGAGATGAGGAGGAAGCAGCAAACTCAAGCTCAGGAGGCATATGATGAGGACGAGGACATGCATGGCGGTGCTCAGAGAGTGCAGTGCGCTCAGCAATAAGGCCACCTTGATTGACCTGATTGTTTTGTTACTAGTCTCTTAC